TCTTCTATAATTCATACTTAATTGCTTTCTGAGATCAAACATACACTTTATACTTGTGTGTTGAGAATCATTATTGATGCTTTATGAAACTAAGATTTCCTATCTTGGTTATCTGAATATTATGTGATATCAAGTGTTGATATTGTTTGCTTAAATGCGTTCAATGTGTTAATTGAATCATAACTAAAGGCTAGGTGAAACTAATATTTGAATGAGATCATATAAATCATATATTAATAATGATTAGCATGATATTTTATTGATGCGATCTTTAGATTTATTTCTTTTTGTTTATACTATCTAGTATACTTACGTCTATGAACTTCACGAAGTATACTATAATAAAAGTGTACCATTGAGATTTGTAAAGCTTAACGTTCATATGTTTCTATTTATAAGTTAATAACCTGAACTTGTTTGAAGAGCATCGTTGCAACAAGATTTCAGTGTCTTTGCATCACAATACAATATTATATGTTTAGGAGGACATGCATATTCATATGACCTTTACTATGTATTTGGTCTAAACTATATTGATAATTTTATTAGTTTGATTCATATCAAACTGTCATAAAATTCTTTTTGTATAAATATTTTATAGTAATTGCTATTGGTGTCACATTTAATATTTGAAATGAAAGTTTTTTTTTAGTTTCACGATTGTTTTATTGTCCCAACATGACATCTTAAACTCATCATATCATGAATCATATTTGAGGTATTACATCCTCAACTATATTTTTTTTCATTGTTTCTTTTCAACCGTCATTATTAGAAAAGGTAAATATGTATTTGTATATTAATTGTAAAGTTTATATGTTTTGACGTTATTAGTTTTTTAAACTTAAATATAATAAATTTTATGTTATTTAAATTTATATTTGATATAAAACACGTACAAACACGGTATTGTGGAGAGAGACGAGGATATTAACAGATCTACAGAGAAGTTTTGTTGTACGATTGCTTCATTTAATGTTAATGTCACGACCTCAGAACTTCAATGCCTCAGACTGTCGGAATATCAGAGTTAAGGTGTGACGGGTCGTGCGGCTTTAGACACTTCTTGACGCTTGTTGATCTTCTCTGCGACTAAGTAAGTCTTACCCAAACTTAGTAAGCATACAAACTCACAAAGGTTGGAATCAAGCCCTTAAGGCTTCTAGGATTGCGTAAGCTTTAACACCAACGTTGCTACTCCAAACCACCAAGGTTTGACTATCGTGTGGAAGTGCAAACTCAAGTGTGGCTACTCCTGGCCACCGAGATAGACAACAACACAAAGATAATAAAGAATAAAGAACTCTGAAAGTATAGAGTAAATGCCTCAGAGCTCTATTACTCTCCAAAGAGAATAATGGAATGGATGAATGGGTGATTCCAAATGAGGAGGAGAGCTCTCTATTTATAGTTGAGCTCCCTCTCAATCAATGGCCAAGATCGTTTTACATCAATGGTTAAGATTAAATCCTACCTAACACCAAATCCCTTAAATCAAGGAATTCCCACCTAACACCAATCTCCTAAATCAAGGAAATCCCACCTAACATTAACCTTTCTAGAATTTTCCAAGGAACATACCAAGTCTGATGGTTCTGGACAAGCCAAACACTTTGTATCATTCTCTTACAGATATCTGCGCACACATGCCTCAGTCTGAATCCACAAGTCTTGACAAAATTGCCCCCATCACACATGTAACACCCTCGTCGCTTCTCTCGGACACCTCAGAATTGATCCTTCACGGACTTGTAAGCATTTTCCAAGAATTGGGCTAAGTCTGGTGATCTTGGCAAGTCCGATACTCTATATTAAACCACTTTTTCATACATTTGCACCAATGTCTCGGACCCAAGTTCATAGCCCATGACATTCTCCCCCACCAAACGTAGCGACGCCCTCTTCACTACACTCGACAATCCTAGGCAACATCACCTTGGATACTTTCCAACGCCTTGGCTTATTGTGGTCCTCCCATACGAACTGCTTGCCTTGGCTTTTGCCTCTTGTAACTTCACGATATTTCGAACCATACTTCACATCAACTTGGTTGCCTTTTGAAGCCTCCACTTGCTCATGCCCCCCATAAGGACTCAACCTCCCATAATGGTTGTGCTTGCTTCGGCTCTTGCCGCTAAGTGATGAAATAGGCTAACACGCCCACAAGTGAATCTCTACCGTATGAACTCTTTCCTACAAGTCTTGATTTGCTTCGGCTTGGACGCTTCTGTCCTTGCGGCAAAGTCTTGGATCCCCTCCAACTTTTGTTTCCTTCGCGTTAGGTCTTGGTCGACCTATACTCATTTAAAACAACAAATTAAACCCAAAAGAGCACTAGAATAGTGTTGAGATGTACCTTCCCCTCTGATTTCGTTGGCATTTACTCAAAATTGCATAAACCCTTCTTTTTCCATAAAGTCTGACACTCCTCGCATTGAACCCTTATCATTGGAGTTCTTTGCACCACCATGCATCAACACTTTCTCAGGGTACAGTCTGATGCCCCTTCTTGCCTCATCCCTTCTAAGATGAAAGTTAGAGCTCACTTCCCACGTTGCAAATGGGTAGTTTCTCCAAGGTTACCTTGTCCATCAATGTCTTAGCTCCCTTCGACTCTTGTCTACTAGTCTTTGAAGGATTGTTCCTCACTTGAACATCCTCGTCAAGCCCTTACTTCGACCCTTCTCTTATGATGGTCTCTGAAGCCATGTTCTCTACGCGAACATGCTCGGCAAACTCCTTGGACATGGACAACTCCTCCTGCACTTGGCTTCTATTCGCCTTGGCAGAAACAAACCGTATTGAGCCAAGTATCAACGCCTCTTCGATCTTGGGTTCGTCCTCTTCTCTGGACAACTTGATCCTAGGCTCATCCATCACCTTGGATGACTCGGCTCCCCTCGGGTAATCTTGCAACACTTCTGGCATCTTAAGTTTGTGGCCCCTCGTTTGCTCGGCTCTTACCCTCGGCTTAGCATCTTTGACACTTGAACTTGTGTCAAGACTGCACACATCTTCTCCATACTCACCATCTGGTTCATCATTGAGTGGACTTTCTCTGCCACTCGAGGAATAACATTCCTCTTTGACTTGCCTTCATCACGGAATCTCTTGCCGCTACCCACGGCTTTCGGCTTTGCTTTGAAAGTCTTGTTCTTCTTGACTCCAAATTCTTTGATGGACTCGGCGGTTTTCAAGGCTTTAGACAAATCCTTGATTTCCCTTAGCTCCAACACTTTCTTCGTCCATGGCTTCAATCCGAATATGAAGGTGAAGAACCCATCTTCTTCAGTCAAACTCGAGACTTTGAGCATGAGTTTTCTGAATCGGCTCACATACTCTTTAAGTGTCCCTTTATGCCTGAGATGCCTCAACTTGGACCACACCTCCGTCCTGGCATATTGTAAGCGAACTAGCTTACTTTGCACCCTTGGCTTGACGGCTTTATCTTTCGCTATCGCATCGGGTCCCTTCCTGTGGTCGACTGCTTTGACACCTGCAGTTTCGCCACGTCTCGATCCTGGGTTGACTACTTGAGAACTTGTAGTCGCACTATGCTTGCTCTTTTATTCGGCTACTTTGGAACACGTAGCCTCACCAAGTCTTTCTCCTGACTTGATTGCTTGGACACTCACAATCGTATCGGGCTTTTTTCTGGGTTCGGCTGCCTCAACATCAACAACCTTGCCTCATCTCGATCCTTGCATGGCGTCTTGTTCCTGGCTTGGTAGTTTTAACATTTGTGCCTGAGCCAATTTCTGCTACTTCTCCTTCTCCCATCCTCTTCATGATGGTTGTAAGGCAACGCTTCTCAGGACAGCCTCCAATCAAATGAGTACCATCACAAAAGTAACACTTCAGTTTTTCCTTGCTTGTATTCTTCTTCGCACCGGACATAGCCTTGCCATTCTTTCTCGATGGCTTTCCTTGGCTACGAACAGTCGATGACTCACCATGGCCATTCGAAGAGCTTTCTCTACCATTTCCCTGCTGCACATTTTTTCGGTCTCCCCCATTGTTGCCATTATCTCACTTAACTTTGCCACGAACTAGCTCAATTTACCTTTGACTAGCTCGAGCGCAAATCTTGCCTACTTAACTTCGAAAGTAAATTGACTAAGTAAGTAAATCAAACTTACCCGGTTTTGCACCTTCCACCAAACACGGTCGAAACGATCGTTGTTTGCCACAACGACTCGCTCTGAAACCACTTGTCACGCCCTCAGAAACTTCAAGCCCAAACTGTCGGAATATTAGAGTTAAAGTCTGACGGGTCGTGCGGCCTTAGACGCTTCTTGACGTTTCTTGGTCTTCTCTACGACTAAGTAAGCATTGGTTCCAACCTTTGTGAGTTTGCATGCTCACTAAGCTTGGGTAAGACTTACTTAGTCACAGAGAAGACCAAGAAGCGTCAAGAAGCGTCTAAAGTCGCACGACCCGTCATACCTTAACTATAATATTTCGACGGTTTGGGCTTGAAGGTTCTGAGGGCGTGACATTAAGGAATAGTAGAGAATGAGCGTAATCAAAAAAATTTATTAAAAACATGATAGTTTTCCGTTGAGCGCAATTTAAAATGTTAACATTTTAATATTTTGAATTCTACCGAAAATGTTAAATTCATATTTTTTGATTATTAACTGAAAATATTATAAAGAAAATGTGCAAGCAAAAAAATATTAAAAACATAACATTTTTTATTACATAATTTTTCTATCATTCCTTACTTTGAATTAAGTCGTCTCGAAACATATGTGACCTACACACCTTCAATTTCAAATTTATGGAGAGCATAAATGAAAAAATAATTAATTAAGTTAAAAAATAAAAAGCACCAAATTTCTTCGGCAGATGGGCTTGTAGTTGTTGCAGGTTTGATCGCCTTTTCTTAGTACCCTCATTTTTAATTATTTGCCCTAATTTGACTCCCCCCTTAAATTTGTTCTCCAAATTTATTTAAAACGCTATTCATCTCTGGTATTTGATTTCGATCGCTTTGATCTGCTCTATTTTCCCAGAATTTTCTTATCATCTTCTTCTGTAGAAGGCAATAAATGAAGTTCCTGGTTTTTTTTACTAATTTTGTTAGTTTACATTTGAAAATAACCATTTTTGCAGCTCACAGTTAAAATACTCGGAAGCTGGGAACCGACTTCAGAGTAACAATAATAAAATGGTACGCCCATGATCTCCTTTTGTTTAAATACGTCATGTCTTAATGCATTTGTTAGTATATATTTAGTCTTTTAAATGCATTTATACAGGTTTAATTTATTATTACTCCCGTGCGAGAAAAAATTGTGGCTACTTCTCTACTGTCTTAGTAATTTAATCTGATTGAACATAAAGGATCTGAGTTATAGGTTACAGTTCTAGGAATTTTATGAACTGTGAAGGATGATATAGCATATAGGCACCATAACTGATTAGTAAAAGGATGGGACTGCCATGAGAAAAAGAAAACAATTTGTAGATCTAAAGTAGTTCAACGAGTGGGTAATTTTTCAGATACGACAATGTGTCTGAAACTGGTATGTTCAATTTTAAAATGTTCATCCAATGTATTTGGAGTATTCTTGGAGTTTGGTATCCCTATATTCATGAATGTCAGACATGAGTATTTAAAAGAATAATGACGAGTCGGAACAACAGAGTATAAAGTAAAACTGGTTTATTGCTCCTTGTTGGGACAAGGACAGTACTGGACTATACACAGCCCATCCCAATGTTCTGTCAATTGTTCAGGTGTTCATTCTAAAGAAAGATCTATTTCTAAGGTGGCTGGTTTTGTTATGTGAAAGTTCTTTGTCTAACTGGAGTCTGGTATTTACTAAATTGAGCTTTGGTTAGCTTGGATCCACCTGGTGGTTTATTCTAGTTTGTTCAAAGAGCAATTCTTCTGTATCATCTTGTCAAACACTGACTATGGCCGACATAAAATTTCTTGTGATTGGTGGTGATTGCAGATGAGTGCTGTGGGCTTAATCACCGTGCAGACACATAATCAGATTATTAGATAATGAGTTTTGTTCATGTTGTTGAAATATCTCGATCTACAGTTCTGCTTTGAAGCAAAGTGGCTTTATTTAAAAACTTCCGTGCCTACATTTATATATATTGACAATCAGTTCCATCATTTATGATTAAAGAATTATGGGTTCCAAGCGACCTCAGTGATAAATGAATTGTTGTTATTTCTTAAGGTCCCGAGTTCGAGCACCAAAAATACCAGGGGTGTGAGCGTTTAATGTCAAATGGTTGAGAGTTATCTTTGAACATATACTGTCTTGTGCTTACCCCGGATTAATAAAAAAAAATTAGGAGTGAGGAACCCTAATAGTTCTTCTATGTAAACATTGAAGTAAGTGCAAAAAAATCAAATGGGAGCTAAAAGAAAAATAGTCAAGTATAATTTGTTTTCTCAAACCAAAGTTTTATGTAGAGTGAAGTGAATATATTGTCATTAGTTATTTCTATTTAGCTTATTTTCTATTTAATATGCAACTTGAAGTATGTTTCTGTTATATTGATGTATAGCTTGTGAATAACATATTGGATTGATCTCCACAACTTCTATAGGCTATGTACATCCGTGTGAAGCGTAGCAAGACCACATACTTTATCCAATGTGATCCTAATGAGACTACCCTAGACATTAAGCAAAGGTTGCATACCATCAGTGATCAACCTGTTAATGATCAGCGTTTGATCCTAATGCATACTGGGGAAATATTAGAGGATTCAAAATCTTTGTCAGATCAGAAGGTATAAGCTCCATTCTCTCTTTCCCTCTTACATTGTGATGGAAAATCTATTTGGCAGCTGTTTGATTGATATCTTACTCTTGATATTTTTGTACAAGTGTTTGAATTATTTGTGACATTTGATGTGCTCTGTGCTTTCAGGTTGAAAATGATGCTGTCGTGGCACTGACCTTGAGAAAAGGTTGTTTTTGTTAATAGTTTTCTTCTTTTTCAGAATTCATTTCTTTTATAAGTTTATTGTTGCACGTCATCCATGTACTATAATTATCATTTTTCAGCTGAAGTGATTTGCATCAAAGTAAATGAATTTTTGCTGCCTCAGCATAAGCCATAATATATGTGTATGTGTGTAGACACACACACTTTTCACTTTCAGTCTTGGAAGATAGGTTGACTTGTGTTTTTATAATGAAGTACTATTTTCTGTATTTCATTTGGTAGGTTAGAAATGACGTTTGCATTTACTATGTTATAAAACAAGTGATGGTGCTTTTACTATCTGTTGAATACCAGCAAAAGCACACTAACTTGCAGTCGATTGTCCTCTTATTGGCCATAAGCCATGGAGGTCGCCTAAAGTGAATATGTGTTGCATTCTGAAATTTTAAAGGGTTAACATACTAAAAGAGCCCTTAAATATTTCACTGTTCTTAAATAAGCTCCTATATCCTTATTATACACAATAAACCTTTTTCCTTGAATATGTACCTAAATAAGCCTTTATTTCAAATGAAATGTTGATTTGACTTAAAAGTTCATTTAGTTATAAATTAAAGGTTATGCAGGTATATAAATACTTGCTAAAGATGAAGGGCCTATTTGGGTGATATAAAATTATAGGTACTTGTCATTACTGGTAATGTTTTATTACCAATTCTAGATTTTTTAGGGTATATTACCGGAAATGTCATTACCTCCATTTCCTTAAGTATTGTAACATTACAGGTGTTTTGGACTAAAATGCCCTTAAATTTTTATTTTTTTTCAAAAATATTCTTCTTCTGTCATTGAATAATAAAAATTCTACGAATGTTAAATTACAAATTTATCCTTAAATTATTTTAGATTTACAAAAAAAAATCTATAATTAAAATTTTATATGAAATTCAGGGGTTAAAAAAATTTACTCTTTCATTAAACCTTTTTTATATTTTTAATTTTGTAAAAAAAATTATATAAATATTATGAATTTAATGTTTTAAAGAAAATATATAAATATTTTACAATTTGTAATATTATACAAATATATAATAAGGACAATTTGGTCAAATATACATTCAAATAATCTTTTATTCCTTTAACCAAACACGGTAATCTTATATTCCTGCTAAACCAACCAAACACAAAATAACATTCTCAGTAATCCTATTCCCTGGTAATCTTTTATTCCCACTGGTAATTTTACATTCCGTGAACCAAACGCACCCTAAGTTTTAACTTTTTCTCCGTTTGAATTGTCAAAATCATGAATAAAGTGGAATTTATTTTATCTAGCCTTAGAAGTATCAACTTATTTGAAAATTTGTTGAGTACCTTATTTTTTCCCTTTCGATGCATGATCTAGGCATGAACATTTATGCATGCATGGGAATGCTCGGGGAAGTATCATGTTTAAAAGATATCAAATGTTTCTCCTAAGTGAAATGACCATCCAGCTTAGTTGGTAGAGCACAAGGTTCTTAATCTTGAAGTCGTGGGATCGAGTCCTATGGAGGGCATTTCATAATTTGGAGGTCTCTTACGGAAGCTGCTCTCAACCTAGTGTTTGGGGCAACCTACTATCTTACCACCCCTTACCCCATTACATATGGGAACAAGGGACAATCATTTAAATGTTTCTCCTAAGTGATCAGTGATTATTCACTTTTACAACTTTCTTACACTTTACTTTTATCTTCCCTCTCTGTCTAACTTCTCGGTTGTATTGTGCTTTTACATCTTTTAGTCTGCTGTGTGTGTTTTCCTGAAACTTAGAATTATGTTAAGAATTATGATATCGACCGCTGCTTACACTTAGGTCTATATTTGAAGTGGCAAATGCTAACCCCCATTGACCATTGCTGAAGTAGTTGAATGTGTTCTTTCCTTCATCAGTCTTAAGTGTCCGTATTGCAATGTATTTCATTTGATCAAGTGTCAAGTCTGGGCTAACTTAGTCTCTCACTTCGAAGATGGATTCTATTATTGTAGTCTTGACTTGAAATAAGTGATTGACTGGCACTGGCCATTGTTTCTGTGTTTCTCTTTCAATATTGTTTAGGCAAAAATAGAAAGTCTGATATTGTTAATCATGCTAAGAGAATGAGGAATAAGAAGCATATCCTATTCTGTACCATCCAGTCTTTACCATACGCTTTCTCATCCCACCCAAATCCAACCAGCATTTTGATAAGCGTTTGTGTACGTATTTTCTGCATGCAGATGACAATGAGTTTGAGGATGTCAACATAGTAAGACCGAACGATTTCTACCCATCCCGTGATGCAGACAGCCACTGATGGATTTGAAACTGATACACAGAAGTTGTCTTGCGTAAGTCTTGATGTTTTCATTGTTCCATGATCTTTGTGCCATGAAACATATTTATCAGAGCAATTTCATGTATTAACTCTTAAAATTGACTGTGAAGCTAGCAAGTTTTCTGGTAAATAATGTATTGCATTCTTGTTGGTGAAATCCCTGATATATTATTGAAATCTCTGTTTACTTTTATTAGGTTTAAATCAATGCTGGTAGAAAAAGAATCTTGGAACTTGGAATTTACGCTGCCATCAAATATTTTAAAATTTGAGTTTATGAAACAAAGAGCATGAAATTTCCAATTGCCATATTCATTCATGAAATTTTCGTCATTCTGTAATATAAATTATATTTATTTCAGAAAAAAAAAACATGTTTTATATCAGTATCTGAATATGGTTGAAAAGATGTCTGATAAATATTGAGAGATACGAGGTTAAAATAGTAGATGAACGAACAAGTGGCCGAAATTCAATATTAACACTTGAATTTCAACATTCTAAAGAAACAAGTGGTCGAAGTTCTGCGTTGGCATGTTGAATTCAAGCTATTAATAATATTAATAATAATATTCACGTCATCGGATCATTATCCTAGTAATTAACAAAGGGAAAGTAAAATAGCATATACTTCGCCTTTTTTTTATAGGAATTGAAGGTCTCATTAAAATACTCCTCCTTAATTAATGGAGTTTGAAGAAAGCTCCTTAATCATTAGAAGGAGGAAAAGAGTGCCTTAGAATTTCATTCAACAACTTAAGTACATAAGATACATCCAGGACAACACCCCAGTGTAAAACATACAACAATACAACACCCTTAAACAACCAAAAACAACAACACTAACTTAGCCTAAACCTAATAAGCTAGGTCCCCCGCAATTGAAGGTGCGTCCTGATTACCAAACTAGCGAAAAAATTACAAAAATAAGAGCCCATACAACCCGAAGTAAAAACAGAACACAATACAACAAAAAAACCTTCATCACTCAACCAATCCCCTGCTTAGCTAGCCTGTCAGCCTCCAAATTACAACTCCTATGAATCCAATTTAGAACACAACCTTTATCAAAAATTGCAGCTCCAATTTCCTCCACCAGTTCATTGAAAAAGATAGGGACAATTTGCATTTTTAGAATCCAATCCACTGTATTTTTGCAATCACTCTCTATAATCAGTCTTCCCTTTTTGGCCCAATCAGACAAATAGAAGAAATCAATTCCTTCTTTAATAGCTTTTAGTTCTGCCAAAATAGGAAGACCATGCCCTACTGCAGTAGAGAAAAAGGCTAAGAAGCAGCTTTTAGAATCTCTCAAAATACCTCCAATTTCGCCTTGCATCCCATCCCCACTAACAGCCCCATCCACATTCAATTTAAACACATCTGAAGGAGGACGAGTCCAGCCAATAACCTTCTTTGGAGTAGAAGAAAGATGAAATTTATCAGCCCTCGAAGGATCATCTATTAGTAGGTAAGCCTGAATCTGAACACTAGGATGTTTAGCTAAAAACCATTTTGCCAACTTGAATCTAATAATAAAATACAGACTTAATCCTTTCCCGTTTTCAAGCACAACCAGATTTCTTGCCTTCCAAATTGACCGGAAAACAACAGCCGAGATAAACCTCCAAATATTAGATTTCTGCCTAAGGTCCGACCAAGAACAAAGAAGGGACGATGGATCATGAGGTAGAACATAAGAGATTTCCCATAACCTTAGAAAATTGATCCACATTTCCCTAGCAACAGAACACCATAAGAACAGGTGTTCTATGGTTTCTTCATGGGAATGGCATAATGGGCAAAACACATCCGCCATGGGAATCCCTCTGTTTTTTAGTTCCACTCTTACTGCTAATTTGTGATGACAAATCTGCCATAAAAAAGTTTAGACTTTAGGAGGGGCCAATCCAGCCCAGACCCATTTATTCCAATCAAAACTCCTTTCAAGACTGCCATATAGCGTCAATCTACAAGACTTGACCGAGAACAAGCCATCCCCCTTTCCCGAATAGCCCAGAAAATCATCCACAGAACTAGAAAGCTTAAAAGTGTCAATCAACGTCATTAAATCAATCCACTCGTCTAATTCCCAATCACAAAGGTTTCTTCTTAGTTGAATATTCCATACCCAAACATTATTAACAAACTCACGAAACTCAAATACTTTCCCCCATTTATTAGTTGACAAAGCAAAAATTCTGGGGAATTGATTTTTTAAAGACAAATTAGTAACCCAAACATCAGTCCAAAAAACTATCGACATACCGTTTCCCACTTGTAACTTTGAATTATCTCTCAAACATTCTCCAATCTTATCATTTTTCGCATGGCTATTCAAGATACCTCTCCAGACCCAAGAATCTAATGGTGAAGCAGCACTATAAATAGAAAGAGACAGGCTACTAAAGTTTTTTTTTGCAGCAAATCAACTTTTTCCATTGGCTATTCTTTTCATTAGCAAATTTCCACACCCATTTCCTAAGAAGGACTCTATTTATCAAACTTAAATCAAAGATTCCCAAACCTCCCTCTTTAAAAGGTTGACAAACTGATTTCCAGTTCACCCAGTGAATTCGTTTCCTAGCATGATCATCTCCCCAAATAAAGTTAGCCATCAAAGAGTTCAACTTCTGAGTCACTTTGAGAGGTATTTGAAAATAAAAAGGTAAAAAATGGGCAAGGAGGACAACACAGATTTAACCAAAACAAGTCTTTCCGCCAGCGATAATGAATTAGCTTTCCAACCTGCAAGTCTCTTGTTAAAATTATGGATTACTGGATCCCACATACCCTTAGAATTCTTCCTTGTACCAATCGGCAAACCCAGATAAGTCATGGGAAAAGACCCCACTCCACAGCCCGCTTTCTTAGCCCACTCATTGATCGTGACATCATCCATATTAACACCAAACAAAGTGCTCTTAGACAGGTTTAAATGCAACCCTGACATTACACCGAACACCCTCAAAACTCTCCTAATATTTAAAATCTGCATTGGAGAATCTCTGTAGAAAAGAATTAAATCATCAACAAACTGAAATGTGACATATGGAAGGAATTTTCAACCCTACCAATGCTAAACCCTTGAAAAGATCTAGATCAACAGCCTTGATCAACATTAAGTTTAAGAGTTCCCCAACTAAATTGAAAAGGAGAGGGGATAAACTGCAACCTTGTCTTAACCCTTTACTAATAGGGAATTCCTCAGTCGGAGATCCATTCACTAACACCGAAATTGAGGCTGAAGAAATACAACGTTCGATCCATGAGATCCATTTTTCCCCAAAACCCATAACCTTCAAAACTCTCAATAAGATAGACCATTCTACCAAATCATAAGCCCTACGGAAGTCAACTTTGAAAACATCTCCTTTTCTCCCTAATTTCCTCCAATAGTCGATGCCTTCATTTGCCAAAAGAGCACAGTCAATCAATTTCCTGCCCGGGATAAATGCAAACTGCGAATGACTTACCAAACCATTTATAACCGCAACCAGCCTTTTGGAGAGTATTTTGGAAATAATTTTATAGAGACTGCCAACAAGACTAATGGGTCTGAAGTCTTCAATGTCCACTGGATTCACTTTCTTGGGGATTAGAGTAATAAAAGAGTGATTAATCCCATTTTCCCATTTTTTACCTCTGTGAAAATCTTGGACAAATTGCATGATATGATGTTTCAATATAGGCCAGAAGTTTTTAAAAAAACCCATAGTATACCCATCCGGACCCGGTGCCTTGGCACTGTCCGAATAAAAGACAGCTTCCCGCACTTCCTATTCAGAAAATTCAACCTCTAAACCCTCCTGTTGAACATCAGTCAATTTAACAAAATTCAGATTAATTTCCTCCACCTCCAGAGTTGTATTCGCATTGTAATTCACTCTAAAATAATCTGCAATAACAGCTCTAATCTGACCCGGATCAGCAATGTATTCCCCATCCACTTTCAGCGTCGAAATGGCATTCACTCTGCTCCTGTTTAGAGCACATAAGTGATAAAATCTGGTATTTCTATCCCCATCCTTTATCCACTTAAGTCGTGATTTTTGAAGCCAAATGCTTTCCTCCTTTCTATATTCGTATCATAAATTATTCTCAATTTATTGAACATGATCATAAAAGGAGAAGTTATTATATACACCAAATACAGTAAATTTATTAATTGGTATAGACGTACGGATTGAGCTATCTCAGTGGTTAAGAGTATCTCTTGAGATCTCAAGTTAGAGGATCATATATTTTAGTTTATCAAGAGTTGTGAACATTCATTATTAAGTGATTTAGAATCTTTGAACAAATATTATCTTGAATTCACCATATTATTAACAAAAATTAGTATAGACAAACATTAATGAGAATGTATGGATGTATACTGTTACAAAAAAAAACCTAAATTGGGGAAAATGCCGACAACGGGAAGCTCAAAGTTACATGTCATGGAGACAGGATGTCATCGCATCGCATGCATCAAAAATTTAGGAAAATTGGCCAATAATTTATGCCTCAAATCTTAATGATAAGTAATGCACCGAAATTTTCACCAAAAATAATATAACTTTTAAATTTGGAACGAATAATTGTGACGAGATTCAATGAATAAACAAAACACGGGTCCTCCACGCGCCATAGATTTTCATAGACAAAAAACTAAGAATTAAAAAGATTAATTAAAAAAATAAATGTACAAATTATATTTTTTATTTATTTTTGGTTGTTAGAACAATCTAAAAATTTAATTATAAAAAAGGTCATCTCGATTATATTGGAGTTTTTCATCTTTAAAGGAGTTGCCACCAATTTTCAATTACACTGAAATTGGATACCCAAAATAGTTGTTATTTTAATAAAGTTTAACTTTACAAATTATCAAAACAACATTTTAAGTCTATGCACAAAAAATTGAGCTCGGGAGTCGATTACGTATGGATAAGAGTTAACCCTCTCCACAACGCCATAAATCAATACCTAATCGATTAGTTAATTGTCTTTACAATGAAACTTATGAATTCAAGTTCAATTTAATTAAAGATCTATTTTAAGCACATAAAAATATTAAACATCGAATTTAAGAAAGGAAAAGAGTGACAATTAATCATTTCCCATTGAGAAGAATGATTTTTTATGCGTTAAAGCAGCTATTTCTCTTTGAATACAAATATCTCAATCTCATTCAAAATTTCG